TCAATATTGTTATCTACTAGTATTTTAATTTTAATATTTGAACATAACCTAACAAAATCGCCAACTGTGAGAGTGAGAGACCGACCTTTCTCTCTTCCACATTAAAGACCGCGACCACTTGCGTTGTATGCTTTAACATGGCCTATCAATTCTTCTATTACCTATCTATGGTACTACTAGTACTACTAGGGCCACTTTTGCTGAAAACCACTATAGTAGTACTAGCATAGCATTACCAGCATTTTTTTGAACAATATGCCCAAGTTTTATTATGGRCTATATCCGTTAAGGCGTCAACTTCACAAGTGATTAGAAAAGGAATTTAGAAAAACATATAATTACAAAATAATAATACTGAAAACGTTGAAGTGTTTCTGCTGTACAGTTGTAGGTTGATTATTGAGTATAACTGTTATTATATTAAATCAATTAGAATATGGTTTTAAAATTAATTTGCAGAGACAAAATTGTCAATAATGTACTTAAAATTAATCAGCATTTAAGCACAAAATTATTTTAAAGTATACATTATATAAAATTATTTTCTACAGTAAATTATACTTGTTAAAAAATATTAAATCACAAATAAGTTACTATAATTATATAGTGAAATAGTTTGTAAAGTACGTTCCAAGTCTATAATAAATAATTAATTAATATGAATGTAATATAAATAATGTGTAAAAATAAAAAAAAATATTATTTAAATGTAAGAGTGGTCAAACTTAGATTTGCTTATGTTAATAACTTCATCAGTACCATATTTTAAAGATTTTTTAATAATTAATTCATTAGCAGAGGACATAGTAGTAGTTTCCAATTTTTTTTTTTTGCCATAAAACGCGCTTGTGGTTCTATTTTTCTTTTTAAATTTGTCTGCGTTTTKTTAAAACTCAAATCTTTATTTTTAGCAAATATATCAAGTATTTTGTCACAGTGTTTTAGAACATTATTCTGGTCTTCGTCATTTAAATTTGTTCGATTGCACATTCCAAGTATCATCTCTATTTTATTTTTTATTTTACTGTTATAATCATCAGTATTATTTGTAATATTCATTAAKCCACGATCTATCACTAATGGTTTATTAACTGGTGTCATTACAGGAACTTTTGATTCA